CGACAGGAGCCAGCACTATGACTCTCAGGCAAAGCATTGAAGGGCTTGAAGGTGGGCACTGCAGGAAGATGCCGAGGGCCAGAGTTTGACTCCTATCTGTTGTGTATCTAGGAGAGAGGCAGGGCTCTCCCTGCATCTCTGTCTCATTTGGTTGGAGCACCAACATGGGGGAAGTCTATGAAGTGGCGGGAGGACCATCCTGTCCTGTCCTGCTGGCAGGAGTCTTCCAGTCAGCTCCTTGCCCCAGCCCCCAGGTCACCACTAAGCCGGAGAGGGGTACTACTTGGGGCCTATAGTTTGTACTGCCTTTCAACATTATTGTAAATCCTCCATCCTCTACCTGTTATGTATTATGCCCTTTAATCTGGAGAAAATGAGGTTCCATAAGGTTGGGTAGTCTGCTCAGGATGCCCTGTCAGTGTCTAGCTGTGACTTTGAAACAGGTCTCCCTTATTCAGGGCTCTGCTCTTGCCCAAGTCCTGGTGTTCCTCACCCCTGGCTCTGCCGACCCCGGAACTATAATAGGATAGAGTGAGTTGGAAGGGGGAGGTTGGCTGTGTAGGGGTGTTAAGGGCTGGTAGGGAGCAGGGAGTTAGTGATCGCCATCCATACGAAGGCCAGGCTGGTGTGGCTCGGTCTGGGAGGAAGCTCCTGGAACTACTCTTGCTGGGGGCCTGTACTCTCAAATGCATACTCCTGCAGTCTGCTGTGTTTCCGGGATCCTTTTTGCTACCACTTTCAACCTGAAAGCAGATCCTGGAGCCTGGCCTCCCTCCCTTTTCCGTTTGTGCCCAGGCCTCAGACTAGATTCAGACTCAGACCAGATCCTTTCCATCTCCAGGCTCGAGGGAAGTGCGTGTTCCAGTATTCAGCAAAGCCCAAGTTGCTCGAGATGTGGCTCCTTGCCTACCTGCTAGCCTAGAGGACATGTGGCAGATCACGTTCACCACACGTAGGCAGCAGTCCCCAAAAGAAGGGGAACAAAGCAAGGCTGGCAGTTAGTGGGGACCCAGGGCCAAGGGAGGTCATCTTGGATTTGTGAAGAGAGTTACATTCCCAATGGGAGGAACTTGTGCACAGCACTTAGGTTGGACTGATTGTTGGCACAGGATGGGGATCTATCTGCAGCTGAGGTTGGTAGACTACCAGGCCTTTGGCCTACAAGGTGTATGTATACAGCTGCAAGCAAGGGGGAAAACGGGGCAGTGGCTTCATTTTTCTTTTTTTCCTGGCTAAAACGGGGGAAAAAAGATCTAAAGTATCTGAAGAGACAGGCCAGTGATTAAGAAGTATGGGGTGATACCAGGCATCGGTCTCCGCCACAGAGGGCTGATTTCTGCAGAAGAGAGCGGGAGTCAGGCTGGGAGGGCAGGTCAGAGTGTCCGATGAGTGACTCCCCGTGGTACCTGGTGAGGACTTAGTCAAGATTGCCTGGCAAGGGAGAAGGAAGCTCATGGGGACAAGTCCAGGCCCTTCCTCCCCTGTAGGGTCAGTGCACTCAAGGGAGACATAGTCCCCAAGTATTCTCTGTATTGAGAAATTGAGAGCCAGGGCACAGGTGATAGGAAGTGGATAAGTTGTGACTTGGTGTCCCAGAAAACTGCCCCTCTTTCACCAGGTAATGGCTCTCATCTTTGAAAACCCTCAGCAGGAGCTGGGACTCTGAACACATATCCCCCACCTCTATGTTTGTTCTTCCTTCCAGCTGCTGGTACCTTCCAGAACTATTACCCTCAGGTATTAGTGCATAGGTCATGCTTTTTCAAGGTGGACCAGCAGGCCCTTTGGCTACAAGGTTGATAGAGATGTAGATAAAAGTGAAAATGGGGCCCATTTCATTTTCCAAGAATAACCAGCCGCTGCCAGTATGGTGGCTGTGCACAACCAGAGGAAACACTGCTTTCAGCCTCCCGCACACACACACACCGTCACGACTCTAGAAACTGTATTTCTCGGTCCTCTCTATAGGCTCAGTGTGTAGTTTTGTAGGTGTACACAGTACAAGAGCCTGGTACAGCTCTGTAAGTTGTGATATATCTCCAGCAGGTGGCAGTACAGTGCGCCAAGGAGGCCAGCCGTGGTTTGTTTCGCTTTGCACTGCTAAAGCTGGTGTTAAACTCCAGGGCTCCTTCTGAGTGCAAAGAATGCAGGTGTGCATAATTGCATTACTGCGTCTGGCTAGCCCTGGCATTCAGAGTGTACTGTTTCTGTCATCCGGGATGCACTGCTCCCTGTGACTGTTCAAGATGCCACAGAGACACTAGCTCTTCGGTGAGTCCTCAGCCAGGAGAGGCATGTTCTCCTGAGATCCAGGGCCTCAGGCAAGCCCCTCTATTACTTCACAAAGGATGGTATTTACTTGACTTCCCCGGCTGGCTGAGCCATCTTAGCCATCCTTATTTGCTCAATACAGTTTTTGCAGAGAAGTTAGAAGCAATGCTCCAGTGTTTACCTGGCCTGCAGGAGCCTTGGGTTCAGTCCCCTGCTCTCTGGCAGAGGTAAAATCAGCTTTTCCCAACTGAGGATCACTGGGTGTATCAACCACACTCCAGGGCAGACTCCATGCTCAGGAGCAGTTGGCCAACACAAACTAACTCCAGTGTGTGTGTGTGTGTGTGTGTGTGTGTGTGTGTGTGTGGACTTTTTGCTTCACTTTGATTTGTTTTTGGCATTCTTGAAATCTCATTAGTTCTTTTGATTTTCTTTTTTTTTTTTTTTTGTAGAGTTTTTGTTTATTCGTTTGTTTGGGGGTTTTATTTTTGAGAGAGAAAGAGAATAAAATTGGGTGGGGAGGAGGTAGGAAGGATGGGGAGGAGTTTTGGAAGGGAAAACCAATCCAAATATAGGGTGTGGAAAAAAAACTAAAAGAATGGGAAAAAAATTAAAAAAAAGGAATTTGAAAGCAAACCGGGAAGCAGAGGAAGATGAAAACAAGGAATGAGGTCTGAGACACACGAACACAGGGAGAGGGCGAAGAAAGGAAGGAGAGAGAGAATGTCCTCACAGGGAGGACCAGCGCTCAGCACTGCCTTATTTCTAACCCATTTGCAGAGTCCCAGTCCTCCACCTCAGCCCCTTGCTTCATGAACCTGTTCAGTATATGGCTTCATCATTGCTACCTACTATATATGTAAATGCCTCACTTCTGATTTTCTTTAAACTTATTTTTATTTTCTTGTGACACGGTCTCTTTCTGTATCTCAGGAGGCCCGGTACTCACCGTGTAGACCAGGCTGGTTCAGATCTGTGGCGGTCCTTCTCCCTCTGCTTTCCAAGGAAGGGCTCTGGTTACAAGATGAGTCACCACGCCAAGCTCGTTTCATTTCCACAGCGAATTCTGTTTGCTTGCTTGCTTTTGAGGCACGGTCTCTTGAAACCCTGGCTGGCCTCACTCACTCTGTAGCTTCAGATCTCCCGCCTCTAACTCCAAGGTGCTGGGATCGAAGGCATGCCCCACCCACCACATCTGGCTTTATGAGGCTCTGGGGATTGAACTCTGGACTTTGTGTGAGCTTTGAACTCTACCAAATGAGCCACATCCCTGGCCTCAACCGTGATTGTTTTACAAGATATGTAAGTCACTTAGGGCTGTACTGAAACCTAGGGAACCCCCTTCCTCCTTCCTGTCTAGTCTAGAAATGCAGGGTGATCTCCCAGGTTGGTGCAGTGGCTTCAGTCAGCCATTGCAACAAGGACGTGAAATGTGGAAGAGCATCTCTCTCTCTCTCTCTCTCTCTCTCTCTCTCTCTCTCTCTCTCACACACACACACACACACCAATACAAAGTTTGCTGAAGGAAGAACCTGCTATTTTATAAATCCATCAAAAGCTTGGGCTGTCTTGGTATACCACGGACTCACTTCATTTAGTCTTTGAAGTTTTATTGTTGGGCTAGGCTGGCTTATGGGAGCCGCATAGCAAGACAAAACTGTTCCTCAGGCTCTGAATCTCTTACTACTTCAGGATTCATGCCTTGGTGGGTGTCAGAGGACAGTTTAGGGAACGGCCTTGGACTGTTTTTGCTGTTGATGGCACAGAGACACTGTGATAGCTCACAGACCTGCTCCGTGGCCCCACATACCAGAAACTTTTGTTCCTTTTGAGAACTGGTGTTTTGCAAAGTGAGTGTGATCGCACCTCCCTCTTTATTTGGTGACTGGGACACTCAGAACAAATTAGCGTTCACTTTTTAAACCCCTTCAGTGCTGATCCCAGGTCCCTGAGCATGGCAGGCAGGTACTTATCCAGCCCTGGGATGCAGCTGAAAGTCACTTGCATGCTCCATATTACCCCATGCAGTTCAGCAAATTATCTGCCCGTTCCACACAATGTTTGTAAGGTGAACAGGCATGTTCTAGTTGGCAGGGTTCTAGTTTATTTAGGCAGAGGCCCAAAGAAATCAAATAGCAAGGAAATAAGTGTTGTTGGGTTAGCCACTGTGGTTTCCAGGGTGGATGGGCAGGATCACACTCCAGGGCACTTCTGACCTCAGGCCCAAAATGGACTTTGGGTTTCAGTGAAGGCCAAGGTGAACAGAGAATCTTGGAATGCCAACTTATTGGACCTCCTTGCCAGGAGCTCTGGGCCTGCCTTACTAATCCTTACAAACTCTGACACCCCTGCCATGGCCCGCACACAGTGGGTGAACGGCAAGTATTGGTCACTCCCCAGTCTCATGGTTTAGCTCTTCCAGTCTGGCCCTTTCCTCTGCTGGGTCCCAGTAATGAGCTTTGTTCCCTAGGAGGCACAGCTGCTGTGGGGAAGATTGCTGTTGTCCGACGTGTGCAGTTAGGGCTAACCATGGCACTTCTGGGTTCCTCTTGGTGCCAAGGAAACCATTTCAAACAAACAAACAAACAAACAAACAAACAAACAGGCAAGCAAACAAAAGGTCCAGAAGGTTGGGAGGGAGAGCCTGTCATCATCTAAGACTGGGGACCGTCAGTGGGTCCCCAGAGCCGCTGCAGGAGCTGACCAGTCACTGCTCTTCTTGCCTGCAGTTCTGACAAAGATGCACTGGACACCAGAACACGCCCAGCCCCTCAACCAGTGGCCAGAGCAGCACCTGGACGTCTCCTCCACTACCCCATCGCCGGCCCACAAGTTGGAGATGCCTCCAGGGGGTCGCCAGCGCTGCCACTACGCTTGGGCACACGATGACATCTCCGCCCTCACTGCCTCCAACCTCCTCAAGCGCTACGCTGAGAAGTACTCCGGAGTCCTGGACTCGCCCTACGAGCGCCCGGGCCTGGCCAGCTACAGTGACACCGCCTTCCTCAACGGCGCCAAAGGGGACCCGGAGCCCTGGCCCGGGCCGGAGCCACCTTACCCGTTGGGCTCGCTCCACGAAGGCCTCCCAGGAGCCAAGCCGGCAGGCGGGGGTGGGTCCGCGGGCCTCGGGGGCTCCCCGGTGGTAGCGGGGAACCTGGCTGAGCCGTTGTATACCGGCAATGCGTGCGGGGCCCCGTCGGGGGCCACCGACTACGCGACGAGCTACGGGGGCGGGTACCTGGCGCCCGGCTACTGCGCGCAGACGAGCGCGGCGCTGGCCCCACCGCCCCCGGCCGCGCTCCTGCAGCCAGCACCGCCGCCCGGCTACGGGCCCTCGGCGCCGCTCTACAACTACCCGGCGGCCGGCTATGCCGCGCAGCCCGGCTTCGGGGCGCTCCCGCCGCCCGCCGCGCCCCCTGCGCCCTACCTGCCGTCCGGCCTGGCGGCGCCCACGCCCCTACCCGCCCCCGCGCCGCCCCGGCCCGCGCCCTACGGCTTCCCCACCGCCGCCGCCGTCGAGGGCGTGTCGCTGAAGCGCAAGGCGGTCGACGAGGGCGCGGAGGCTCGCTACCGCAAGTACGCTTACGAGCCCGCCAAGGCCCCCGCGGCCGACGGCGCCGCCTACCCCGCCGCGGATGACGCCGAGTGTCGGGGCAACGGGTTCCGCGCCAAGCCAGCTGCAGCTACGGAGGAGGGGCCCGTCAAGTACGGCGGCGGCGGCGCTCTCAAGGTCCTGGGGTCCCCCGCCTACGGCCCGCAACTCGAGCCCTTTGACAAGTTTCCCCCCGAGCGGGTCCCGGCCACCCGCGGAGGATTCACGGCGCCGTCGGGGGAACCTCCCAAGAGTGTGGACCCGGGAACCCTGGAGCTGGTGACCAGCAAGATCGTAGACTGCGGGCCCCCGGTGCAATGGGCAGACGTGGCGGGCCAGGGCGCGCTCAAGGCGGCGCTGGAGGAGGAGCTGCTGTGGCCCCTGCTGAGGCCACCCGCCTGTCCCGGCAGCGCACGCCCGCCGCGGACCGTGCTGCTCTTCGGGCCCCGCGGCTCCGGCAAAGCGCTGCTGGGCCGCTGCCTCGCCACCCAGCTGGGCGCCACGCTGCTGCGCCTGCGTGGGGCCGGCCTGGCCGCCTCGGGCGCCGTCGAGGGCGCGCGCCTCCTGCAGGCGGCCTTTGCGGCTGCGCGCTGCCGCCCGCCCGCGGTGCTGCTCATCAGCGAGCTGGACGCGCTACTGCCGGCGCGGGACGACGGGGCCTCGCTGCGGGCGCCTCTGCTGGCCTGCCTGGACGGCGGCTGCAGCGCGCGCCACGATGGCGTGCTGGTGGTGGGTACCACCTCGCGGCCGGCAGCCCTGGACGAGGCGACTCGCCGGCGTTTCGCGCTGCGCTTGTACGTGGCGCTGCCCGACGGCGCGGCGCGCGGGCAGATCCTGCAGAGGGCGCTGGCTCAGCAGGGCTGTGCGCTGAGCGAGCGGGAGCTGGCCGTCCTGGTGCAGGGCACCCAAGGCTTCTCAGGCGGCGAGCTGGGGCAGCTGTGCCAGCAGGCAGCGGCCGAGGTCGGCCTCTCCGGACTGCAGAGGCCCCTTTCCTACAAAGACGTAGAGGCTGCTCTAGCCAAGGTGGGCCCTCGGGCTTCCCCCAAGGAGCTGGACTCTCTAGTGGAGTGGGACAAAATGTATGGCTCCGGACACTAAGGATGGCCGGTGAGATGCCACCTTCGCCAGAGGATGGCCAAAGGAGTGATGAATGTGGGGGTGAAAGAGGGGAGGGCTCTGCTGGTGAGTTCGTTCGCATGGGAAGGAAAATGCTTCTGCCAGGCAGATCGATGCCATATGCACCAGTGTACTCAGGTTTCTCCTATTTATTATGGATGGGAAGTTCGCCATATCCACTGGGCACACCCGACAGGAGCTGGCACCAGGGCCTAGGGAGCTCCTGTCCTCTCTCCGTAATCCTTTTGTCTCCTTGTCCTCTGAGCGCCACCCTTCTTTTCCCATCCTACCTTTTCTGTTTAGGCTTAGTTTCTCCTCGAGGCTTTGTCATTGACCCCTCCCCATACTATCCCTGTACCCTTTTGGCTCCTCCCTCTGGTCCCCTCCTCATGTACCACCCTCCGGGCTTTTCTGTGTGGCTCCTCAGTCTCCTCCCTCCTCTGCTCCTCATTCACTCTGCAGGGTCTTGGCAGAAGTTCTTTTGGCCCAGAGGCTGAAAAGGGGGGGGGTAGGGAGCCCCACAACCCCTCAGTATATTACCCACTAGAAATCTTGGCTCTTAGGGGTGGGAACAAGGGGAAAAACACCCAAAGAAGGGTTTTTTTTTTTTTTTGTTCATTTTTGAGGGGAAGTCCCAGAAATTTAGATTGCTTAATATTTTAGGCCTCTTATTTTTGTAAGATGTGTAGGATTTGCTGTTTTTCGTTTTATTTTGACAACTCAGGAAGAAACTGACCTTAGAAAGAATGTTAGACTTCTGCTCTCCTGTTACCCCTAGGCCCCACCCCAGGGGAGCAGATTCTCCCAGACCAGAGAGACTGGGGTTGATGAGGAAGACCAGAAACGAGTCCCAAACTGCTGTTGTTGGGGCAGAAGCAGAATGTAACTAAAGGCTTCCTCCCCAGGCCCAGCTTGCAAGGGAGAGATGCGCGGGAGCAGGGCCCTCCAGGGGGCCAGGGAGACTTGCTGCTTCCTTCTGGCCAGTCTCCTGTGGGTCCCAGTCCTCGGCTTCAGGTTCTCTGGGAAACTTACAGAGGGTTGGGGTACTCTGGCTCATGTCCTGCTTCAGGTGACCCAGTGGAATGTTCTCAGGTTACCTCACTGGACACCTGCTTAGTCAGAGGCTCCCTATACCAGGCTAAGGGATTCCCCCCAGAATGAAGATGGTCTAGCCAGAAGTCTGGCTGACACAGTATTGACTACTAGGAGCCAGGCCTCCTGTTTCTCTGGGACCTGTCAGGAGGGAGAGCATGGCTCTGGAGACAGTTCTGTGGGGAATGTATTTCCTTGCTCTCCCAGACTGTGGGACCTGGAGAGGATGACATGACGTAGGAAATAGAGCCCTTCTCTTCAAACCCTCTTCCTCCTGCTTGCTCCCGCAATGGGGCTTCAGCTTTTCAGCTCCTCAGACCATTTCACAATCTTTGGTGCAAAGAAGGAACATTCCCCATCTTTGTCCCACCCTAGCCCCCCTGCTTGTCCCTACAGTTCTTCGTCCTCCTCACTTTCTGGGTGCCGAGGATGGCATGAGAGACATGGCAGGGGCCAGGTACCGAGGGCAAGCGCTAGCCTTGAGTGTGAACGGGAGAGCTGCTGTGTTCCCTTAGTCCTTGTTTCCTCCGAGCCTCTCTCTGGAGCCAGAGGCCACAGAGCGCTGCTGCCAAAAGATCCTTGGTAGGAACATGGGATAAGGGAGTTCTCTCAGGTCTGGGGGTGGGGTGGGGGGTAGAGGGGCAGGGAAGTGGAGTTGGGAACCCAGCTTTACCTTCAAGCAGCAGCACCTCTAGGGGGTTCATGGACCAATCCCCAGGGTCCCTACACTTCCTTTGCTGGGCTCTTTCTGTTTCCAGGTTTGGAAGCTTTGCACAAGAATCAGCCCCCGGCTGCAGCACCTACCTCGTGAGCATGGGGCAGGATGGCAGGGTGGGTCCAGCCCTAGTGATGTTGGGGGCATACCAAAGAATCCAGGGGTGGAGTGCAGGGGTGGGGACAGCGTGCCCTGCAGGAGTGGGCACATAGACTGCCCACTCCCTCTGCTACTATTGGGTTGGGATCCTCTCCTTCAGCTGTAACCATTTCTACCTCATTTTGCTGTGTGTTGTACATGGACATATTTATCTCCTGTCTGATAATGCTCTGCAGTTGTGGTCTGTCTACCTCAGAAGAGACTGTATTTTAAAAGAAAAAATTACACAGTATTAAAGTATGCCGTGTGGTATTCGGAGGATTTCTTGGGGGTAGTGGGGTGCGGGGAGCGTTGGCTGCTCAGGTTGTTTCTGTCCCTTCAGCAGGAGCAGAACTTTGCTGTTCACCCCGTGCCCGTGGCTGTCATTTGCTGACCGGAGGTGACATCCAGAGCCTTCCATCTGGCTCTGGATGCTGATGTAAGTGTCCATCTGGCTCTGGATGCTGATGTAAGTGTCCATCTGGCTCTGGATGCTGATGTAAGTGTGGGTGTGTTTGTTGAATGAATGCATGAACAAAAGGGAGTGTGAAGAGGGAGGGGGCCCTCGAGTATGACAACAGCCCTGCTTGAGCAAGTGAGAGTCATGCTTGTCTTCCGTAGGGGAGAAGGCAAGGTGTGGAGACACCCGAAGCTCGGTGCTTCAGACCACATGAGCCCATGTCCATTTCCTCACTGCCTTTCAGTCCCGACGATCTTCAACAGCTCCATCGAGAGATGGAGAAATTAGGGACACTGTGGAGCTATGGAGAGCCTGGGGCCCACTACTATCTCAGGTCTTCGACTGCCACAAGCCAAGGGGAACAGCATGCTGGGCTCCCTTTTAGGGCTCACTACAGGCTCACAGGAGGCAAAGCCAGGAGCAACCTCTGGAGAGACCAATTGGGATTTCCAGGATTCAGAGTCCTTGGAGGTCCAGATATGACCTCCTGCAATTTATCATGTACCTATTGTATGACAAAATTGTGGGGATGCTGACTAAAACAACCGCCCCAAACTGCCAAGGACACCCCCGAGAACCCATGGTAGGACAGTCCTCCAAACAGACCATATAAATATATAAGGGCTCCTCACAGCTGGCACAACTGTTTGACCTTGATGCAATCACTGGGGACTTCTATTGAGTAGCCCCTAGTATTTCTAGAAGAGTATGCCAATGAAGAACACAGGGCTTCTCTCAAGAATGCCCAAGAGGAACCAGGCAGTGGTGGTGTACGCGGATCTCTGTAAGTTCAAGACCAGCCTGGTCTACAGAGTTCCAGGGCTACACAGAGAAAGCCCAAGAGGGCCGGGGAGATGGCTCCATTGGCAGGGTGCTGCCATGCAGGTGTGGAGACCAAGTCTGGAGCTCCCAGCACCCATGTAGCAATGGATTGCTATGGCAGCTCCCCTGTAATTACAGCCTTTGGAAGGCAAAAGTAGGGGTTCCCTCAGAGTAAGATTTGAACTCTGGGTTCAACTGCGAGACTCGGTGAATAAGGCAGAGAATGGTGGAGCCTATTTGACTCAGGCCTATACCAGTATACACACAGGTGGCCCACATCACACACACCCACACACCACACAAGTACCCATGAGTGTCAAGTCAGGAACCTTCACAGGTGGGAGGGGTAAAGGTGAGTAAAATACGGAGGCCGGAGAGAGTATTGTTGACATCGTTCATGTTTGTTACAAGAGCACAAAATGGGGGCAGCAGTAGGGAGACCTGAGGTGGGAGGAGTCAGGCAGGCCCCTAAGCTACCCTGGAGTAGCCTCTGCACGTGGGTGAATAGGGGACACTGGGAATTCACAAGAATTCCCGCTGAGTCAACAGACCTCTGCTGAACACTTGGTCTCCTGGCTGAGGCAGTGCAAAGGTGTAGCTGCAGCGATGGGCAAGATGGTGGGTGCGGGATTCTTAGAGGGGCTATGATGTGTGTGAGCGGTGTGTGTGGCTTCCTGAAGGCATGGGATAGCAGGGTTCACCATGGAGGCCAAACTGCCAGACTGGAGGTTATATTCAAGCCATCTTGGGAAAAGATGTGTTAGGTAAGTGGGGGTCCAGTGTGATGGGATGGAAGAACTGGGGGTTTGCCCTATTCTGGGAAGATGAGGGTTTAGACTAGCAGACGCGAGAACATGCTGAGAGAATCTGGGCCTTGAATGAATCCAGAGCTTCTGATAGAAGTCGAAGGACAATAAATGAATGAGAAGATGGGAAGTGGGAGGTGGGTTTAGATTAGGCGTTTGAATATAAGGCCCGGACTGCCACCCAATCCCTGCCTTCAGCGGGGGCTGCTGAGGACCCCTTCCCCCTAGACCCTGGGCATTCAGATCTGTGCGCACCCCGCCCCCACCCCCGCGCAGTAGCTAACTCCTTTCTAGCAGCAGTGTTCCGTGTTCCACGAATGTCCCTCGCCACAATGCCTGGCCTTGCGGCATTCGGAGCCCTTCCCTCAGGCCCTGCCATGGCGTGGGCGCTGGTTCTGGTGCTCTGCAACCGGGCGCTGGCCCCCGTGGGCGCGCTGGACGCCATGGGCCCTCACGCAGCAGTCCGCCTGTCGGAGCTGCTGACCCCGGAGGAGTGCGGCCACTTCCGATCGCTCCTTGAGGCGCCCGAGCCCGACGTGGACGCCGAGTTGGCCCGGCTATCTGAGGACTGGCTGGCACGGCCCGAGCCGTCCACATCCTCTCCCGGAGCGCAGGGTATCGTGGGGCGACGGCGGCGGGCGGCAGCCACGCAGCCGTCGGAGGGACAGGAGGGCGTGCCAACCGGGGCCAGGGAGGTGTCCGACGGTTGCCGCGAGGCGCTGGCGTCCTGGCTGGCCGCCGAAGCCCCGGTCCTGTCGTGGGACCGCGTGGCCCGGGCGCTACGGCGCAGCGGCCGCCCCGATGTGGCGCGGGAGCTGGCCAAGAACCTCCACCAGCAGGCGACGTTGCAGCTGCGCAGGTCAGGCGCGAACTACGTGCAGCCGCCCGTGGCCCCCGCCCCGGCCCCGGCCCCGGCCCCGGCCCCGCGCGCCCGCCGCTCCGGGGTCCCCGCGCCCTCCTGGGACGATTTAGAGCTGATCGTGGAGCGCCTGCCGCAGCCCCCGTACACGCGAAGCCCAGCAGCCTGGATCGGGCCGCTGGTGCTCGGCCTCCTCGTCGGCTTCGTGGGAGCGCTGGGCACCGGGGCGCTGATCACCGTGCTCACGCTGCGGATCACAGGCGGCGACGGCGATCCCGCCCCGCGCGCTTCCTCCGGGCCCAGGCCGTCCCCAGCGCCGTGCCGCTGGGAAGCAGAGCCGCTCCTGCCCCGAACCTGGGTGCCGCAGGGACCGTCCCCCCACGGCCCGCTGCCGTGAACAGCGAGCAGCGCGCCCCATGGCGCTCTACCACTATAAAGTTTCCAAAGGCGGTAGAGGGCGCAGTCTGGAACTGGTTGGTGGAAATGGTTGGCGCCGCCGGGCCCAGGCATCCCCAGGGGTCCCCAGCGTTGGCCAGCGTCCGCCGGCCGAGCCTCGAGCTTTTGGATACACTCTTGTATCCATTCCACGCCAGGAAGCTGCTCACCATTCATTCCTTAAGGGGAGCAGCCGCACTCTTGACTCCGGAGCTGCCTGGAGCGTGCAGCACTCAATCCTTTGGGCAAGGCCTCCTGAGGACGCAGTGGGAACAACCCTGGCACTTTCCCACCCACCACCAAGGGATGAGCCGAGATTGGAGAATCTGTAGCCAGGCAGGTCCAGGGGAAGGGGCTTGGGGCAAAAGCCATGACAGAAGGACAGGCCAGTCCAAGAGGAGAGTTGAAAACAAGATTGACGTAACCCTTTATTGCAAATTCTAAAGTAAAAAGATGTACAGTACAAAGTAAAATTGAAAATTCAGACTATAAACTTCCCATCCACTTACATTCTCAGTTCTCGAGCATTTCTGCCATCTCCGCATAAACAGAACAAGGAAAGAATCGAGGGGGACGGTGGGAGATACAGCAAGGGGAAAGAAAGAAGTATCACAACCCCCAGAAGCAAGTGCAAGGAAAGACATTTCTCGACCTGCCGTCCTGGTGATGAGAAGCGGGGAGTGGAGCGGTGCAGTTTAAAATGGCTCTCAGAATAGCAGCGTTTATGGGACTAGTTCATCTTCCTCAAGTCCAAATATGCTTTGCCCTTCCCTGGCGCCTTGGTCTCTGTAGCTCAGAACGCTTTACAAAACATCTAGTTAAAGCCTCACAACACCCCTGTGAGGTAGGTCAGTATTATTACCCCCATTTTACAGATGGGGAAACTGAGGCACAGAGAGGTTAAGTGACTTGCCCAAGGCCACACAGCGAGCCAGTGGTCAAGTTAGGGATGGAACACAGTTCTGTCCCTCTTCTGGAACCACTGGACCACGCTCCCCTTTACCTATGTACATTCTTCACACGCACACGCGCGCGCACACACACACACACATACACACACATACCACATGTGCACACCTGCCCACTTCGCCCCACTTAGCCTCTATATACAGCAAACAGCAGTGGGGGCAGGGGCAGGGGCGCCTCAGGAGTGTTTTAATGGAGGAAGCCTTGAGAGGCAGATCCAAGCAGCACTAGCCTGGTGCAAGCCTTGGCCTCACACCCAGATTCCTCTTCTCCCGAAGCCCCCCTCCCCGACTGACTGGTGGCAGCTGATTCTCTAGGGGGTGGGGAGTACCTGAAAAATGAACGAAGCTTTTTGCAAAACTTTGGGCAACATCTGAGAAAAGAAAGAGGCATCGTTACAGAAGATGCCCAGGACTCAAGTCACCAAGTCCTTACCCTCCATAGAGGGACAAAGATGGGGATTGACCTACCAGCCATCTCTCTCCATTCAGCGTCTAGAGTGGACTAGAGTGGGCACTTCAAGATCCTCCTGAGTGTTCCTAGACCAGGAGACACGGCCTGGAGAGGGATGTCCCCGAGGGGGTCAGCCCAGTCTGCTGGTCTGATTGTGGGAGCGGATGGAGGCCGGCCCAGCACTAGCTCTTGGAGTAGGAGCCCCTGGGCATCGTACTTGCACTAGCTTTGGGGGTGGGGCTAGTTTTTCCTTAAACCATCTCCGTGAACAAGGCAGAAGTAAGGCCAGTCCAGCTGGGTTGACTGAGGTCATCTCTGGGGTCTGCTGGGTGACACAGCTGAGGGAGGGTTCAGCCTAAGGAATGCCACATGGAGTCGGCAGCAGGGACCTGGGGATCAGGACCTGGCTTTTTTGCACAGTCTCTACTTAGCCGGCATCGGGAGGTGCTGGCTCTCCTTTCTCCAAATGCTCCAGGGTCCCCAGTTTCCAGAACCTTCCAGAATTCAAAAATGGGCAAGTTGAACAGCAGCTGTGGAGACAGGCTCCCCTTGGGTGGTGAGAAGGATCACTTTTATTGTTTCCTTTTGACTTTTTAAAATCATGTCTCATTTAGCTCGGCATTGGCCTCCATGGATTCACTAACAACACTGTATTGGTCTCTGACAGGTGACGCAGGCTGTGGAGATAATGTGAAAGAAGCCCTCTGGGTACTGTAGCTCCAGGGGCCCTGCTCGGGAGCTTGTTTCTTTCTGCCCACAGCTTCAGATGCCCAAGTGGCTCGCGTCCAGAGGGTGAGAGCAGGCCATGTGGACTCGGGAAGGTTCCCTGCTCTCAGCCTCTGCTGAGTCCCAGTCTCCTCACCCTAAACCACAGGAAGTTAAGGAACAGGGGGAGTGTTTTCACACAGCCAGCAGTCATGGTGGCTGCTGCTCAAGGGCTTTGGCTCTGCGTTTAAATGAACAGCATCACATGACTTTTTTGCTTTTTGTCCTTTTTTATTTTTAAAGGAGATTGTGGAATATAAATACTGCACCAAGGACCCGGCTACAAAAAAATAAATATTTATATTATATTTATATATCTATATATATATATGTGCAGTGGTACTGGCTGCTGCTGCTGCTGCTGCTCTTTGATTGATGGGCTTCGTGGATATTTGGCAAAGCGTTGCCACTTGCTCGCTCTGTGAGGACACGAAACAAAAAAAGAGACCAACCAAAAACTGCCATAGCAATTCTTTAGGTTCAATGCCTGTTGACTGCGGTGAGAACTGCTGGTGATGGTGGCCTACGGAACAGAAGTGTGGAGCGGAGCGGGGTGGACAGAGAGCCAGGGAGGGAGGAGGGGAGGAGGGGGAGGGGCAGCAGGTGAAGGCTAATCAGTGGGTGGGGTGGCTTCTTCCCTGAAGCTCTTGCTAGCTCTCTGAGGGGTCAGATCTAGGCTCTAGCAGCTTACCAACAGTACTAACATGGCGCTTGGTGTTCCTAGCAGGATCACAGCTATTGCCCACCTCAAGATCTAAGAACAATGATTAAGTTTAGCCAAATCTTGCATAGAAGTGGTTAGAATTTATTGCACATTGGAACAAAAATATATTTTTGTTGTTTTGGAAAAGACCATTAGCAATAAAAAATTTTTTGTCTGTCTGTCTGGTTGGGGTGTACATTGGCTGACAGCATCTAGTTCTAAGAAGAAAGAAAGTATAAAAAATAAAAATAAACATGACAATGGCATAAGCCAGAAGCCATTTCCTATTTAATAAGTTAGTAATTTGTATTTACAAAAGGCATGCCAATAAAATAAAATTATATATTACAGTATTTATAATTCTCTTAAAAAGAATAACCACACACGTCAGCTTCTGTTTTGTGCTGTGTACGACGTCACCTGTACGTGGCTCTCTACATCCGCCCTAGCGGCAGCGGCACGGATACACTGCCAGGCTGCTCTCAGCACGCTCAGGACAGCTGGACAGTGTCTACCGGTCCAACGAGAGAAAGCTCTGCTCACTGACTGCCTGTGGTTTGTTCTATGGAAACTAGTCGAGTGGACTGTGAGATTACATCCAAAGTGCTTCTACTGCAAGGCAGATTGGTCTAGAGTGTCTAGTGTGGACTGCTTACTTCCCTATACCCTATGCTCAGGAAGGATGGCGTTCACTTGGTTTGGAGAGACTTTCTGACGCTCAAGTGTGGCATCCTGGCTTTGGACCCCTGTGGTCAGGTGAGATGCCCCTGGACTAACAGCTGCCTTCCGCAAAGCAGGAGATGGGATGGAAGATGTGGTGCTTCCTCAGAAGCCATCTCCCGACGACAGTGGGCAGGCCACTAAGCAGACAGCAAGGTGGACAGAAAGGAAACGCCAGGGAAGCTGCAACACCCGAAAGAATTACTACGGAGTCCCTTTCTCACAAAAGCCAGCACAGTAACAGGACTAAGTGGGCTCGGCCCAGAGCTGGCTCCATCTCTACCTCAGGTCCTGCTAGTAACCATTATTCTGAAGATCACAAACGGAAGAGCTCATAGCCATACCCCAAGCAACGCTGCTGCCTTTACCCAGCCCTGGAAGGCTGGGAAGGGAAGTCCCACTGGCTGAAGGAATGTGATGGAGGCAGGAAGAACCAGCAGATGGGAGCATGTGGTAATCCCTCTGCAGGTCTAGAGTTCCTGAACCCCTTCCCACATCTACCTGAGCCTGAGAAAAGCCATAATGTAGACAGACATGACACCGAATGACGTGAGCACCCCATGATCCCCCAAAGGCCTCCTAGAGATAACATGCTACTATGAATAGCACTTTTTCCTCTCCCCAAGTGTCAGTTCCCCATCACTATAATATTGCGAGATACAAATGAACTCTTTTTCTATTTTTTTTTTAAGCCCTAGGATTTGGTTTTACAGTGACATTAATAGTACAAGCCATTTGGGGCCAGAGTCTCCCCATGTTCTGGACAGAGCAGCATTAGATAGTTTACCTTGCAAAATGTGCAACAATGGCTTTATGTTGAGATGTCTGTTAAACATGTACACACAACGGATCCATCTGCTTGTTGGGTTGGATTGGTTCTGGTGGTGGTGGTCAATTGGTTAGTTATGTTTCCCTACCCAGAGGTATGAAAGACTTCTAAGAACTCAGAAAGACTTGCAGCCGGTATGGAACTCTTACCATTCCCCCAAATACAGTGAACGGTGCAGGGCTGGGTCCCGTCCAAAGGCCGACCCAATGCAGGGGTGTGTATGGATCTCATGCATGACTTCTGATCACGGCATGCCATCATGCAAATCATTTCTACGCGTTGAACGAGCACAATGTTTGGAATTGGCCTGAGCAAGTCCTCCTCAGCCTGAAAAACCCTGATTGTTTCCCCACCCATCTCCAAACCACGTGACGCCCATGTGGAGAAGATGCTGTTTATGTCAAAGAAATAGACAATTAGTGACATTGGCTGAATGTGTGTGTGTGTTTCTTTTTGCTGCTTAGCTTAACTAATGTAAGAATGCAAAATTTGTTTGTATGAACAAACAAACTTTTAAAATGATGCT